TATCGTATAAATATAATGCATGTTTTCTACGAACATATTTAACATAATAATTAGCATTGCTAAGCACTTTGGGTTACCTGGCTGGATACATTTTATGTAGGAGACATTTTACGTAGGAGACAGTTTGACAAGTCACCGCTGACTTCCCAGGGTACATGCCACTTTGATTGTAAAAACAAAATGTTGGCAATTAATTGTCAAATATGACTTCAATGAGTCAATAACGCGGGTCTTGGGGTCAATGGATGACAAGGCTGTGATTGCAAGTGATTGCTGAGAAAAATGTGAAATTGGTGCTATCGCGGTAGGCGCGAAAAATGGACCCTCACGAATGTGGTAAGCGGGCGTTGTATGGAATGAGGTAATGCCATTTCGCTCCGTTGTTATTGTAAACAGTTTAATGAATGAAAATGGGATTGAATTTAATCAAATAAAATGTGTTTTCTGACATCATACATTCTCGGATGGTGGTGTTTACCCGCGCAATTACGCGGTGTGTTGCATCATAGTAAACGTTGTAAGTACTCGGCTGATGACATGTCTTTATGATAAAGTTATTACAATGTTTCGCTGTTCATCTTTTATTATTGAAAAAAACCCTGCATGTTTTAAGCATCTGAAAAACCATGGATATGTGCGATAAACACTGTTAAATGCAATCCGCACTGAATTTCACTAGTTTCCAACGTGATTAACCAGAGCTCAACAGCGGATTTGTTGATGTGCTATTTTTGACAACGTGAATATGTGTGATCACATGGCCATTTTTTTTAATGGGAGCCACGGATTACCCCGTGGTTTAACCGAATCCGCGGTATCGCTAAGAGCGTTATTGCGAGGGATGACTGTACTGGGATCAGGTAATCAGGCTCACTGGTTCATGATCAGATGCTAATGATGAAGATCACTGCTCATGATGCCAATCACTGGATTATCTGGTTCAGACTTAATTACTGCCGCCTGTCTTGAAGCAGGAATATTACTGAATTGTTCAACAACAAATACACCAACCAAACGTTCACACATTCTCCAGAACAGCCACCCTCTACTGCATAATGCATATTATTCATGCATTATTCTCAGTCAAATCTACATTGTATCCCTTCAATGAGTTCATGTGAACCAAAGAGGGATAACAAACATACTCGGTATAAATTTGAAATTTGAGACAAAACTAAGCTGAAATGACCAATCAACTGGACATGTTTTCAACCAATCTACTGCTGATTAATTTGAAAAAAAAATAATACTATAACACAACGATGTTCATCACAAGGGCTGATATACATTGTATCTGAAACAATTATATATATGTTAATGGAAATGAATAAAGGAACACACGAAAGTGCGAAAGTGTTCCTATACTGTTTTCCAGGTTTCTCGTCCTGCCTTATATTGCACTTTGGGTGAAAATCTGGAAATAAATGAAGGAACATTTGCTCTTTCATGTTTTCCCTTCTTCGTATCCATGACTATATCAGGAACATTATACTCCAATATCATGTTATTTTAGCTGTTTACTATGTCTATATAAAATATTAATAACTCTAGTGTACCATTTTGGTACAACTGATAGCTACTGCCGGATATACTTAGACATATAGCACAGCTTCATCAGACATCATTGTGATTTCCCTCGCCCCTGATGTTGTATCGCAAAAATGTTCCGTTGGAATACACTTTTCATGATTCTAATAATTTGACTCTCAATGAGTTAACGTATGACCTTTATGATTCATTTATCTGTTATCAACTAATGTTTGTTTCAAGGCAAAATAAAGGCAATATGCTAGTGGTTGGTGCAAAGGGTCGGGTCGATCAATCATGATTTCACCAAAATTAATACAAGCAATTTGGATTGAAATTTGAAATATATTAACAAAATAGATAACAAGTCTAAATCCAAGGTTTCCAGATATCTGGGGTGAGGATACATGCCATACATCTTAAAGTGTGTTATATTGTTGGTATCATATATGTATTTAATGTTGTTATGGTATACAATTTGTTTATTTGCTTGCTGTTCAATCTCTCAACAAACACCGAGCCATAACAAAAAATGTATATTTAATTGTACTTATTGTAAAAAAATTAATTATCTTGATGTTATTGTTTATCTGTGAATAAGGCTAACTAGTGGTGTGTGAGTGAGGTTTTACTCTACTCCCTATACGTTGGTTGCCGATATCGTGACGCCAGTCAGAAGTCAGAACACTCAGAGAGTCCATGATGTACCAACTCCGTTTACACAGTCAACGACAGCATGTATAGCTCCACACTGTGAAAGGATGAAACCTACTGATGTATATATACGTGTTGGCTGATATTTACATTATGAGCGACGCAGTAATAAATGGGGGAGAGGAGGTCAAAGTTTCATCAGGCGCTGTTAACAACCAGTCCAGGCTAAGGTATTCAAGATCAATTCATCCACCCAAGATTGGATGACGGTATCGATTAGGAAAGGTATAGCAGTTGGCAGACTAAAAACTTCCTTATTACAAAGTCAATATTTCTAAATACTGATGGGTTAGCTGGGAGAACAATGACGTGAAATACAACCCGTGAAATCACGCAAACACATCACTCATAGCCATATAAAGAGGAGGAAAACTGCTGAAAAAGGTTTTTCATCTCCTCCCAAAGAGTCGTATGTTGTTCAAAGCTGCTTTGTTAGCTACACGTTAAGGGATGATATTCATACATTAACATCAGATGCCTCACGCCAAGCAACCATAACAATAATACCCAACAGGTATTCTCCCCCACCCCTGATGACTCAATACAGATTATTTAACCATGCATCACAAAAGCATAATAGGAAGTGGAAGAAGGAATAATATGCTGAAAATCGCAGCCCAGCTTGCAAATCACCTTTAATTGATAACGGTAATCTTTTGTATAGCTTCCCTTTCAAAAGGGGTGGTGTCACAGTATGAGTTTCTAGTTCAACAAAGTACCGGTACATTATATGCCTTATTTGCATAGAAAGTTAATACTGTTACCCAAACAATGGGACAATGATGGATCAGGATGGTGTTTGACTCTTAATAACATGTCATGATAAAGGGGTGACCAGTTCAGAACACTGTTGTATCTCTCAGAAACTAATATGCATCCTAGGTACATATTTCCGTGTTTCACACTCATAAATTTTCCCAATTTTTTCCCCAAACATATACTCATGCAGTCATCACCCATAACTCAGTGACACTGTAGCCAGTGGTTTTCACAAAAGTTATTTCTGAAACTTTGATATTGTATATTTTTAAGTTACTTTCCTTAAAAAGCATTTTGATAGGAATGCTTTTACAACATATAAAGAAAATCCCATTTTGGTTGTAAAAACACATTTTTATCGGAACAGAAAGATTTATGCGAAAGAGTTACAAAACAAAGTTTCGACTTTCCTTTATGGAGAGGGAACTGGATTTGAGGTGTAATAACCTGATGCTTTACACCTGGAAAGTATATATAACCAGAGGCATGGTATAAATCCCTGCCAAATTTGGTACAACATGTGACACAGTGTTTCAGTGCTTGCATTTGATCCCTCTGTCAGTCAGTCTGTTGGTGGTTAATCTAATATATAAACTGGGGCATAAAAGAACTATGTTGCATATGTTCTTGGTTACATTTGTATCAATTTGTTACAAAGTGTGCTGATGAAGCATTAAGTGAGTGAGTGAGTTTAGTTTTATGCCACACTCAGCAACATTCCAGCCATATCCAGTCTGTAAATAATCAAGTCTCAACCAGACAATCCAGTGATCAACAGCATGAACATCGACCTACGCAAGTGGGATACGATAACATGTGTCAACCAAGTCAGCGAGCCTGACCACCAGATCCCGTTAGTTGTCTCTTACAACAAGCATATGCATGTGTAACTGAAGACCAATTCTAACCCGGATCTTCACGGGTGGCAGTTTTAAGTAATGATGGATGCCTTGTATGACTGACCAGCACCTGTTATCTTCTGACAACAACCAGAGAAAACATAAAACTCACAGTATTTGTTTTTTCCCATATAAAGCTGTTTCTTTATGAAGTCACAAGTGGGAAAAAACATCACAAAACTATCTTATCAAGCCTACCAGAAATGTTCAATTCAAACTACTGTCGACAGGTAGTATGTTTCGTAATCAAACAAACCAACATCTTTTTGAGAAATCTGGTGTAAAGTTTTTAAAGATTATTGTATTGTGTTCTTTGTTTTCTATCCATCAGTGAGTTTGGTCAGAGATAAATATATTATTGGAAGTTGACAAAATCTAGATGATGACTTTTTAAGAACTTTGGACTACTTGTCAATCCATAACTGAACATCATTTCATTCAGCTGAATGTGTACAGATCTGCATACAGCCTTTAAACAGACAGACGTCACTCTACAAAACATCTCCCATAACAATTCATCCCTTCCATCCAGGCTTACAGAAAGACAAGGTTTATTATATCCACTTGTCTGAGAACCAGCAACATGGGTCTGCCTCCTGGCTGTCTGACGAAGGACAAGATAGAGTTGATAGACGGCTGCAGCGTGTAGAGTCACAGATGTATGCGGTATTATCAGTCCCGCCACCAAGCATGATAAGCACACCCACGGCCAGGTGCTGTGTTCCACACAATCCCATCTCTCCGAGGCCATCTGCATCTATGTAGGACAACATCCTACAGCCGTCTATCTTGCCATAGATGGCCAACACTGGGAAGCAGCATAGTTCTAGGAATTTTACAGACAGATCGCAGTGGCCACAATATGGCCACTACATGCAGTAACTTCTACCTCCTTACATAAGCTGAAGACAGTGGTCTTCATAATTATGGATTCATTGAAGTGTTAGTATGGTAGTCATTTGATGCTCAGGGGTGAAAAATAACTTCAAAATTGCTAGTGTACTCCGGTACAACGGCACATGTAAAATCACTTGCCCTGATAATTTTTCCACTATACCGGCCGTTTTCTTGTTGATTTTTTACATAAACAACATAATTAACGTTGGAAAGTCAACTGGACACCGGTACAGTGTAATATACAAATTTGCTTGCCCAACAGAAAAAAACACTGGACTCGGACGTCTGGTAATGGGTTTTTTCCACCCCTGATGCTAATTAAAAATGTTTAATTGTATATCTCAATATTATCATACACAGGCCTCAAAAAGGTCATGCTTAATTTGCACATACTGATTTCACTTTATGTTGTAATTGTTGAATGAGTGAGTGAGTTGGATGTTTCAATGTTTCAACAATAAATCCTCCCAATGTTAATTGGAACTAGCTCCACACAGTGTCCATGTGGAATACAGGCCAGGAATAGAGGGCACTTAGTCAACCTATCCAAACATCTGGCCATCCTGGTCATAGTTTGCGGTGGGTTTTTGTTGATGGCTTGTTTTCTTTTCAAGAGGGTGAAGGTAGGGTAGAATGGGATGGAAACTGTTGTCTTCAGTGTCAGGGGATTAGGTGGAAGAGTTAATAAGTATTCATGGTAACTTATGTGTTTTGCAGAAATTCAGCCACTTGGTTAAAAGCATCCTTCAACCTGACTAACTGACATACTGTCTGATATTGGACACTGGCTGATACTGCATACTGACTGATACTGACATACTGATACTGCATACTGTCTGATACAGCATACTGTCTGATACGGCACACTGGCTGATACGGCATACTGTCTGATACAGCATACTGGCTGATACGGCACACTGGCTGATACGGCATACTGTCTGATACGGTATACTGGCTGATACAGCATACTGGCTGATACGGCATACTGACTGATATTGGATACTGTCTGATACAGCATACTGGCTGATACGACATACTGGCTGATATTGGATACTGGCTGATACGGCATACTGGCTGATACGGCACACTGGCTGATACTGCATACTGTCTGATATTGGATACTGGCTGATACAGCATACTGACTGATACAGCATACTGACTGATACTGCATATTGTCCAATATTGGATACTGGCTGAAAGTCTTTCGTGCAGCACTAGGCAGAGGCTACCCCACTAAAATGCATTATAAGATTGCATAGAAACCTAGTTCATAGTAAACATATCTGACATAACGGAGGTCAAATGAAATCACTAATTCTTTACTAAAGTCCTGCCATATGTTCATTCCAGCCTGACCAACGACTATTCCCAACTACCAGATTACATAATCTACTTCAAACACATCAAAGATGTTTATTCAGTGGTTTATCGATCAGCACACTCGGTGCACATTATTCAACTATATACAGCTGCCTTCTTCAACCACCCCCTACCCTGTCAGTCTACTCACCCCTCCACCACACCTTGTCAGACTTATCCCTCAACTAAAGCACTACTTCCTACCCTCAACTCAACCCTCCATCACACCCTCTCAGCCCTACCGGCAACCAACATACTACCTAACATCCCATTAGCCTCCCCCTAACTCAACTCACTACCATCTGACCTTCTGCTCACCTACACCATCCATTAAACCTCCTACCCTACACACAACCTCCTCAACTTCTACCCTCTCTGCTCACCCCATCCCTTCCAACACACATCCCAACCTACCCAACCCGCTCCAATCCACATGCCACCCCATCAACCTACCCCACCCGCTCTAATCCACATCCCACCCTCTCAACCTACACCACCCCTCCAATCCACATCCCACCCTATCAACCTACCCCACCCGCTCCAATCCACATCCCACCCTCTCAACCTACACCACCCCTCCAATCCACATCCCACCCTATCAAGCTACACCCGGCCAATCCACATCCCACCCTCTCAACCTACCCCACCCCTCCAATCCACACCCACCCTCTCAACTTACTCCACCCGGCTCCAATCCACATCCCACCCTCTGAACCTACCCCACCCCTACAATCCACATCCCACCCTCTCAACCTACTCCACCCCTCCACCCACACACCACCCTCTCAACTTACTCCCACCCTCCACACACACCACCCTGTCAACTTACTCCCACCCCTCCAATCCACACACCACCCTTCCAACCAACCCCTTCTAATCAACATCCCACCCTCTCAACCAACCCAACCTCTCAACCTACCCTATCGCTCCTATCCATATCCCACCCTCTCACCCCACCCCTCCTACCGATATCCCACCCTATGACCCACCCCTTCCAATCCACATCACACCCTCTCATCCACCTCTTCCAATTCACATCCCACTCTCACAACCCACATTAATGTCCTACCTGCCTACCATCTATTGCTGTAGCCTCCTCTTTCCCACCTTCTGTCCTCAAACCCAGCTCGACACTTCCAACAATTAATAACAATATTAACAGTATGCAAACCCACCCACTACCGCTATAACCCACCACAAGTACCATCTTCTGCCCTGACTAACAGCTTACCCCTCAGTGCACCCTCCCTGTCCTAAACCCCCCTCCCTTCTCATCCCAAAGCATATCCCAGCTTATGGTGGAGGCTAGACTTGGCCAAATCAAATGCAAACCTCCTTCTGATAATAAACTGCTTCATTATTGATTCTGATTGGCTGTTGCTAGGATACCAACAAACAGGGCATTCTCTGCTTCCTTGATGACTTGTGAAAGTAGATGAATAAAGGGTTTATAGGGGAGGAATTTTAAAAAACACTTCATTACTCCATTGCAAGATCAATAAAGCAAAGTCTGGATCACTAGAACGTAGGTCTTTTTTTCTCAAGAGAAGGTAATAGAATACTTAAAGTCAAATAAAAGCTCAAAACACAAACATCAATTGGGTCAAATACGTTCTGACTTAAGAAAAATGAACTGATAAAAAAATACTTAACTAAACTCCCCTCCATATTAGAAAATCATCTAGAATTATGTTCATGATTATCTGTGCCAGAAATAGACCTTTTTCTCAGTATTTCCAAGCATATATAAGCCTTGGCCTCTGAGCACAACCTTAGTGTTAGCCACATAAATTATATTTCTAATGGTGAATTTCAAGATGGAGGTTGGAGAGCAGAGGCGTGATGTTCAGCCATCTCGGGCTGAGCTTCTCTGGCCTCTATCAGCTGAGACAGGTCACATAAATCTCAGGTAGTTTTTATTGCAACCCAGAAACTGGTACTTGAAATGATTTAAAAGGATGAGGGTCAAACTCCATATCAGGTTACATCGGAACCATTTCTGTACATACTCAGAGTGGATTTGCAAAACCTAAATGCTTGCACACTATGCATATACATGTGTAAACAACACAGAGATGTGTCAGCATCCGGGGTCGAGAGGTATGTTTGGAGAGACCGGGAGATCGTATCATATCACCACAGCATCTTAATCTCAAATTTATTTCTGGTCTGATCAAATCATTTATCTGGCCTAAATATTTCTGTTATATTTATTTTTCACAAATCTTTATAGCTAATAGATGAATAAAAAAATACTTACAATATTAATATTTACAAAAAATCACATCTATTACAAAGATTTAGGAAAATTTAATTCTTACAGGAAATTCAATGTAACATCATGTTTGACAAAAGTTCAACAATTTGATTTCCTGCATGAAAGAAAAAATGTTCAAAGATTTGCTTTTTATATTATACAACAATTCATTTTATAAATATAAAGCAATCAAATATTTCATCAATATTGTTTTACAACAAAAACAATTACAAAGAAAACAAAATTAACAATAACAGCTATGTGAAGCCCCACATTTGAGAAGATTGAAGAACATATTCATGGCAGCCTTGAAGATCATGATGACATGATAAAGAGCCCTAGAGAAAAGGCCTAGTGCGGAGTCAGTCATTGGCTCACGAAATGCATCTATAGCCATCCACGCCTGGTAGACACCATTATACAAAAGGTAAAATCTGGACACATGCCAAGATTGTCATAGCTTCCTGAAATAACTTGTCTGTGAGATAGAAGCTCACATCATTACCCAGTCCATATCAGGGTGGCCCGCAAATAAAAAACTAATCACGTTCCCAACTCAATATTAGGTATGTCGACTTTTATTAAAAGTTTTATTTAAAAAAGCATCTTAGCAAATCTTAATTTTGTTTGACTCAGTCTGATAAGATGGAGCCAGAAGATGGATAGCGTATATTGCACTGAAATATGAATCAGGGCAGTGCATGGCGCGATGAAAGGGCCCGTCACTCAAAGCACAGGAAATTAAGGAGGATGCAAACATCGTAAAAGTGGGGAGCCCCGATCTGGGTATTGTAATATGGCGATGTGAATATTGACTTTGTGCTTTACGTGAAAAGTGATAAATGGTACTGACCGCAAAGGCCAAACCCATACATCACATCCCTGAGAACTGCCGGGGTGGGCGGGGTGCATACCCAACCCGGCCGACTGAGAGTTGATATCACCTTGGCAACGCGACACCGCTCACCTTCGTTCACACATCCATGCTCGGGATGCTTCGACATAGACGTGATCATCATTTTCATCGCAAATAACATTCACACTCTCCATCAATCAATCACTTCATGAACAAATCCATTCATAAATCACTTTGAAGAAACTTTGTGACAAGTTCAGTCCGTCTACCTGACTTCGGAGGCCAGTTCTGGCCTGTACCCAAAGATGTTCACACATCAACTTCCCTATGAAATGAATCAACGAATCGAACGACCTGTCTACCCACATCATCAACAAAAACATCATCTCGGATAAATTCAACAACAATCGTAAAAATATGACACACCTGAATAAAACACATTACCTGACTTGACAGGCCTCGGGTTGGCCTGCTTACGCCTCGACATGATGCTGTCGGCAAATGCTAGCTTCGACTGTCTATCAGTTTCATTCCTCGTTACCTCTGGGCATGCGCAACATCTCCCAGCATGCAATTTCCTTACCTATAGCAGCCGACAGGTAAGGGGATCAGACGAGAAGCAGATTTGGGGTGCTTGACGCATTTGAAAACAGTGACTTATATTTCATGTATATCAAAGACAGGCCGAATCTTTTGATGCTGGAAGTTTTAAATGTATATTTTGTAGGGAATGTCATTTCAGGTTTATAGGTAAATTATCAGTACACTCATCACAACAAAACTCGGAAAGGACCAAGTATATATAATTCGGGGAAATAAGAGACAACCTACATATTTATCATTAATGGCATAAGCAGCCGTCATATAAATGTACTCGAACAGTGAAGCTGTAATCCAAGACATCTCTTGTCTCGTGGGGATAATTGAAATGTTAAGTAAGGATGCTTTTTAATTATTAATTTTCTAATTCAATCATCAAATCGATTACTAGCTCAGAAACAAAGGTTGCATTTAATTATACCTTTCTGCATACTGATTTGTATTAACCGTGAAGGACATCATCCCTTGAAGTCTCGGCGCCGACATAACGGCTTTACTTAAATGTTGAGAGCACATATTATTATTAGTTACTGACGGGGATATTAACACACTTAATTCACACCACTGATGGCCGGGACGGTGCAGATGAGGATGTTGATGAGTAGTAGTTGTTTGTAGTAACAGCACTGCCAGCATCACTACTACTACTACTACTACTACTACTACTACTACTACTACCAGTACTTATAATGTTACTAGTACTGCTGCTACTACGACCACTACCCCTACTACCACTACCACTGCTACTACTACTACTATAACTACTACTACTACTACTACCATTTCTAATAATGTTACTAGTACTGCTGCTACTACGACCACTACCCCTACTACCACTACCAATTGTACTACTACTATTACGACGACGACTACTACCACTACTACTAAATTTATCACCAGGAAGCGAAACTGACTTGCGAATAGAGAGGTAACTGGTTTCATGAATTCCACGAAATGCACAGGGTCTGCATGGGGTGGGACGGGGGAAACACAATCATGGAACAAGGGGTGGGACGGGGGAAACACAATCATGGAACAAAACTCTCTCTCTCTCTCTCTCTCTCTCTCTCTCTCTCTCTCTCTCTCTCTCTCTCTCTCTCTCTCTCTCTCTCTCTCTCTCTCTGACGTAACGTTTTGTGCATTTATGAACATTTTACTACTGATTCCAATTTGTGTTTACAAGTTTCCAGCTGCTGGTCAAATTGAACAGAGTCAGCCAAGTAACATGGCTCTTCCCTCACCTATGTGACTGAACATAATTATCGACAAGTGATCTGTACCCAGACCGCTATCGGTGTCAACCAGCTCTGTCCCATGCAGCGCGCTCAGGTCTGCGCGTCGCAACACGCGCTCCAACCGGTGATGGTGCGACAAAGGGAATGGGGTACCCCAATATGGTAGCCTGTAGGTTTATTCAAGAATAGAACAAAACGCTTTGTGGAATTTGTTTGGAATGCTGATGGATAAAACGGGAAGCCTAACAGTGTATTGGGTGCCGAGGGTAATTAAGGTGACTCGCTTGATGCTGGTACTTACCTGTGTTGTTTGTTGCCGGGGCAACAACGCTCACAAACATTGACGCGCGATAGAAAGTTTTGAAACTGATATCGATGCGCTTTGGGTATCATGGCCTTATCTCTGTATAATTCTGAAATGAATTGTCGCTGTTGAAAAAAATAGAAAGTGAATTTATTTTCATATGCAAATCGGATACCTGAGATAACATAAAGGGATGGGTTTATACGCGACAGACATCGCTCTTGCAAAATTGTTATCGGGAAAATACAAATATGTTAATAATCCAGGTTTTTTTATAGTTTTGGAAAGGAAATATGCGTGTAAAATGTGCCTTTATTCGGGGGGAGTAGTTTCCTTTAATGAACTTCATGAAATTGAAAACATATTTTTTTATGTCCATTTCTTGTGATATTTCATGGGGCAATGGGGCAACGTTTGAGGAAAGAGACCTCCCAATCCCTCCAAACTCCAACCATATCAACACCCAGCTGTAATGTCCGATAGAAGTTACTGTCATCATGTGGTGTATGTGATGTGTGATGAATAACACGACATAACTGTATACTTGTAATACACTTGTATATCATATCATAAGGTAAAAAACACAACATGGTTATGTCAATAAATATTAAACACAAAATACAGACACCTCACATCACATAAGTCTGTCCTAATGTTATATTTGACGATCAGTTTTCCCGATTATTCAATGATTAAATGTGAAATAAAGGGTCAGTCATATATAATCATATCTCACAGTGTCTTCTTGAAGATTTGATAGACAATCAGTTTTCAACCGACATGACAAAAACCCGCTCTCTGATACCACCATCTCCCGTGGTTCGCGTGTTCATCAAACATTGAAAGGATGACACGCTGTACCGTTAGTTAACAGAGGAGGAAGAGAATATGACACCAGACCCAGTGAAGCAAATGAGAAATTAGCCAAGCGAAGCAGGTTGTTGCGGGAGTTAGGAAACCAACTTCCAGTTATGTCCTGGTTGAAGCTCCACTTTCCACATGCATGAATCATCGTCACATCTCACACCGCTATCCTTTTGTCACGTACGCTGTGGGGAGCTGTAACGGGGTAGTGCATTGGTTAATGCGCTTTATTATTACGAGGACGATTCCGGTTTGATTCCTTTTGTTTACATAACTTATGTATTCTGACTACCAGGCCTCTATCGTGCCCGTATCATGCCTATCTATGCCCCTTTCATGCCACTCTATGCCTCTCTACGAACTGAGTTTTGAAGGTTATATATAGGGTTTACGCGTCTCGAAATAAATTCAAATATAATCTTGAAAAACATATTTCTATGAACAACCCTCAATTATTAAGGAACCACCAAGTGCCATAATTTTAGGTCCTGGGGCTGAAAAGGGGCATGGCATTAGCCGCTGTTGATGAGAGGTAGAGGCGTCAGTAAGGGGGTGATTATTAAGCAAGTGCATGAGTGAGTGGGATTTTACGGCGCTTTTCCTTCTATCCCAGCAAAATAACACAGGGCTACCCAGCCACAGTACACGTGAATGGAATGGGCGCTGTTGTTTACCATGTACATGCATCATTATCTGTGTGATAATGCTACAGTAGTCTTGAAAGCAGCCCACTCTCACACCTCGCTCTATTCTCGTCTATCTGGAGCATTATATCTATTTTCTTGAGGAATAACACCACGAATTCTTTCGCTACTTTGGCATTGCCGAGTCACACTCTTATCGCACAACTCTTCGTTTATACCCCACCTGTGTGAGAGATTTCAGATTAGCATACTCGTGACGTCATATTCCAAACGCAGCGTATATCAAGAATCCACAGAATGGCGACCTGCCGTCATGTTCTGTTCCTTGTGAATACAGGAGAATCCCCTACTCCTCCCAGGGAATGTGACGGTGTTTCACGGTATAATCCTTTTGGCTCAAAGTAGGGGATGCCTTTCAAAAACATCTATATATGTATCACGTCTAAGTAGGGGATGCATTTCAAAGACTCTAAACATAAAATACTCAATGAAACACTGATCATAATCAAAACGGCAGACCAACTCTGTGATTTGTTTGCAGAATTTATGTCCTAAAAATAAAAAAGTTGTTTCACAAACTATCATTAAAATATTGACTGACACAGTTCACTATTTGTTACGAGGGAGGAGTGCAGAGAAAGGGACAGCCAGGTGTGCGAAAAAGGATGGAGACAGCACAGGTTAATGAATCAATAACTTCGTCGGCACTTGTGCACGTGCTTCTCTGAACACCTGGCTGTCCCTTTCTCTGCACTCCTCCCTCGTGACAAATAGTGAACTGTGTCAATATTTTAATGATAGTTTGTTAAACAACTTTTATAATTTTAGGACATAAATTCTGCAAACAAATCACAGAGTTGGTCTGATGTTTTGATTATGATCAGCGTTTCATTGAGTATTATGATTATGTTTATTAGTTTTCGAGTTATATAGCAATTCATCGGTACGCTTTTAAGCCAAACGCACTATATGTGTGAACACCGCATACAGTTACTATTCACCTTCTATTTAGGTTAGGTGGCGCTCATGGTCACATAAACCTTCTAATATACAATTACAGTGATTTTGTACGTGAGTATGGTCGTTTGTATATGTAACCCATAACTTACATCTTCTGGAGTACTCCTTGTTTTAGTTCTTTTCGTTTTTGTGTGGGTTTTTTGCTACCATAAGATTGTATCCAGCATAAAGCGAAAACATAAACTTTGCTTTTCAGTTGGATCCCTTGAGGTGGTCTTGAGTTTACTTCCATTACAAAGCACATGAAACAACTAATGTGTGTCCGTGAAGGAAATAATTACCGGTCGTTATGAATTATTTATTGTTGTAAGCAAAATGTATTATACGCCATTGTAAGGTAATATATCCCGAACACATTTGTTGAGGCGCTACACATTTCTTAAGTGTACTGATGATTATAAAGATAATAGCGACAAAACCCTTTCCATAATCACAAGAAATCTCTCTTAAAGAAGAGTATTTTGCATGATGACGACTACATCATGATCATGTGTTTAAATGAACAATACATATTGTTTATTTAATCAGTGACGTGAGACAATATTGTAGACAGCATTCGAAATCAGTGCCATGCTTATCGCGTAAAGCATCAATGTGTGTCTGAGTTAGGTTTTACGCCCCCTTTAGCAATATTCCAGCAATATCACAGCGGGGGAGCAGGAAATGGGCTTCACATATTGTACTTGTGTGGGGAATCGAATCCGGGCCTTCGGCGTGACGAGCGAACGTTTTAACCACTGGGCTACCCGACTGCCCCACTTACTGCATCCGACGTCCACTCTGTTATTAGCCAAACGAGAACCAGTGCAAACCGATAGTGGGCTTAGGCTATATTTTAGGTACATGAATAATTAACAGATCATGACATTATTGAAGAATAATGTCTTGCAAGTCCAAATACTGACTTGCCCTCAGTAACTGATTCAAGACGTTTCCCCATTCCTTGGATCAATCTCCGGATTTGATTCATAGGAATCCTGTTCCAAATGCAAAGCAGCAGGTATTCATTGAGTTGCTGTGTGGGAGGAAGGGGGAGGCTCTGCATCAACTTGATCTTGTGGCCGTGGCAGAACTTCTCTTGTCGCTGTTCGTTGACTATGTACACTGATGTAGTGCTGTCAGACATGATGCATGTGAATAGCTCAAGTGATGAAAACACCTCTGAGTCTTTGTCCACAGGTTGGAATGGATGCTGTGCAGGAAAAGGAAATTTCTCAGTCACATCCTCATGGTATATCCAAGTATTCCAAGCAGTTTTCTTGCCCTGTCCACTGAACTGTGAAGTTGTGTCAGAACCAGTGAATGCATGGGAAAAGGGAAGCGCCACTCATCTACGACAACCAAGATCTTGGAATAGTCTGTTTATGTGATAATATCTGAAGTTTTTCCCTTTTCCAAATGACACCTACAGCTGAACAGCAGACTTCAGTTCAACCAGTTTCGACTACTAACCATGATGTTTGTAGCACCTTTTTGCAAAGCATCTTTGACACGAAGGCAGATTCTTGTATCCGCCTCTTCCTGATTAGTGCACTGCATATCCTCTTCACTTCCTACTGTCACCACTGACTCCACAGCTGTTATGAAGACCATCTTTCCTGGTTGGTAAAAGCTGCTAGACACACTATCTGTTAAGAATGCAAAGAGTTCTTCTTTGTCCTTTGATTCTTTTAGAAAAGAGTGAGTGAGTGAGTTTAGTTTTACGCCGCACTTAGCAATATTCAAGCTATATGGCGGCGGTCTGTAAATAATCGAGTCTGGACCAGACAATCCAGTTATCAACAGCATGAACATCGATCTGCGCAATTGGGAACCGATGACAAGTGTCAACCAAGTCAGTGGCCTGACCATCCGATCCCGTTAGTCGCCTCTTACGACAAGCATGGGTTACTGAAGGTTCATTCTAACCCGTACCTTCACGGGTTTTTAGAAAAGAAGCAAAGATTAAAGGTAGTCTAGTGTGACGGGAAACTTTCTTCTACTGCCTTGTCTTCGCTTTTCTTATGTTGTCTCAAAGAACAGAGTCATACCCAGGTGATGCAAGACAATCTAAGTGCTCTGATTTGCAGTTTGGTAAATGAAATTTTCCATGAATTGATATGGATGGTGGCCACGGGTGGTTATCATGAGAAAAGATTTGATTTAAATCAGATTGACGTACCTGACAATCAATGAACATCTGACTGAAGAGACTGTAGTCATTTTTCAGGTCATTCGTTTGCTGTTTGGTTTAGACTGAGGTTTTGTTTGTGGTCGCTTGAAAAAAAGGGAGGTGATTTTTCTTGATGGGCTTGTGAATTGACTCTTTAATTTCCACAAAAACATCCTTTACAAACTTCTCATATTTGTCTTTTCCTGTTTTCTCCATTGATTTCATAGATGCTACGACAGCTTCACCAACACAGTGATGCGCGTCAAGGGTCATCAGTTCAGGTGACACTTCCAGGAAGGGATTTCCCATCGAAGCAACTGTGCCACAAAAGTTGTTGACTTTAGTCTTAAATTTCTGCTGCGTAGCAAAATCTTGTTCATTCCTTCTTGCATCCACCTAGTCATGTTGCTTCTCAAACACTTGCAGAATTCTTGTTTGTTCTGGTCCAGATGTCAAGGCAACATTTTCTGTTAATCCAACTGCACCATCTGAGTGTTTTACATCTTTGCTGCTTTGTTCATGAGCTTGATCCAAAAGCATGGCAGAAAATGTGTTTGTTGTTTTTTTGAAAACCCAACCTCTCTGAAGGGACTCTCTTCTGTCAACAGGAAGGGCTTTCATATCTCTGATGTGAACTGGCAGCCAGCGTGCATAGTCGGTGTGATCAAGAGCAAAGAACCAAGGAACAATTTGTTCCATTATCTGGGTTTACAGAGACATGGTTCTTTCGCGATGGGACCTCACAAAGATTGGTAGCATTCTGTCGAGATGAAGAATCAAATCCCAGTATTTGAATGTTGGACTCTTTTCTGACATCCAATTTGTGGAGCCAGTTTTCAAATGATTGTTGAACATACGGTTCCAGTGAGGACATGTAAGCATAACTTTGAAGCTTTGCTAGTGATATGGCAGCTATTTGATGAGTATATCTTTGTAACATGAGACGCTGAAATAAAAGATTTAGCTGTTCCACTTGAGGCAATACCTGTTTCTGTTAGTGCTGAAGTCCACCCAGAATCTTCTAACAAGTCTCCAACCATTTTCCATTAGGCTATTTCAATGTGAAGACCTCCTTGCACGATAGTTTACACGTCTTCACCAACCACATTATGTCATCTCCATTGAACATATTTTGCTAGAGCAAACAGATGCTCAGTGGGACTGAGATCTGTAATTTCTTTATTGGACTCGTGGCAGGCCATAGGATGGTGTCAACAGCATTCTGGTGCACTGGATGACAGCACGTGCTCTAGGATGTCTGACATTGTCATCCATATAGATGGGTCTTGTAGCTAGAGGATGGTTATCAAAAAGTGAAACAACAGCCCTCTCAAGGATCTCCTGTCGATGTCGAGTCCCATTAAGGTTACCTTATGGTGGTAAGGTCTATCTTGCAACCCAAGGAAATGCATCCCCATACCATGATTGACAAATCCCGAAAGGGAACCGTCTCCTGGATATTGCGGTGAACCATAGCTGTGTACCTTTGTCTGTACCTACCACATGAAGTAAGAAACGACTCTCATCGGAAACGTGAACCCTCCGCCATGACGGAATGTTCCAGCGAACACGTTGATTACACCTGACTCGTCGTGCTGCTTTGTGAGCTGGGGACAGGTTTATACGCTTGATGTGTCTTCGGCCCTGATGGTCCTGCAGGAAATGGCTCTCCCTTGTAACCACTGTTGCCTTTATGATAGGCTTGTTGCCTTTATGATAGGCTTGAGTCCCATGAACGGCGCCTAACAAGTCTCAACGATGCCCTGTCCATTCTTATTGTTGTCTCGCGGGGTCTGCCGGGTCTTGGAAGATCTTTAACATCATTGGTAACCCAGTGTTTGTTCAAGAGTCTTGAAATGGTGGAAGGATTGCGCCCAACTTGATGTCGAATTTGTCTAAGAGACATTCCTGCATTTTTCATGACAATAGTTTGCCACAATGTAGCCTCTGACAATTTACTACGTGCCATAACAATTATGGTGCTGAATATTCAATCCAAACTGAAAGGAGTGAGTGTGACATGTTATCAGTACAACCTTGATTTCAACGATGTTATGGGTATGGCAGTTCACGTGCATTGCACGCGGTTGCATGTGCATTGATATGTCCACAAAAAATCATGGTATACAGCAAGATATAAAATGTTTAATTCAGAAAATATCTGTGTTTTTAATTCACAGAATAATAGGTGTTGCTTAATTAATTTCCATATATGTTAAAGTTACCACACCGCCATCCGAGTTATTGCTCACTTTCGATGATCGAAATCACACCATCGAAAGTGTGCGAGCAACCAAAGAGGTAGCAGGGCCTAGATTTTCGAAGCTCTCTGAGCGCTAAGATAGTCGTAAGTGCTATACATTAACATTAACTTACGACTATCTTAGCGCTAAGAGAGCTTCGAAAATCTAGGCCCTGGGTGTTAGTGTCCAGCAACTATCACGACATCATATCGCGTGTATTATCTGTTGAGGCGGAACACCATATTACGGTGGCAATGACCCGGATGAGTCACCATACCATAGGAACTACATGCAATTATGAAGATTTATTATCCATACGGTGAAACATAACCAGTGTCATATATATCATATGTGCACATGTGCACGTATCACTTTTGCCCAGCAGCCATTGTTTCTGTATTTCGTCGTCTGTGACGTCATTAAACAATTGAACGTGATGTCAATGAACAGGGCTGTCACACTTACTTTCCGTGTTTTACTGCAAAAATGTACAAGAAGAAAATGGAAAATAAAGAAATTATTACACTCGCAAATGTGCCACACGACTTATATGGAATTCGTGCAAAATTATACGGAATCGTGCCTAAATATCGGTATATCCCTCGCGCTCGGATAATACCAACATTTAGGCACTCGTGTCGTAAACAGTGTGACATGGGCACTCATTTATATCATTGAATTTTCTATCCCTTTTGACAGCAACGTGATTGGCAAGATTCAGTAAAAACACGGACAAAATACGGACAACGCCTGTGAAATGTCTCGCTTGCACCCCAAGTACCAAGTTGACTGACTCCCCATTGTTCACCGTGCCCTTGGTTTCGTACCTCCAGATAGCTTGGCGCAGAATGCCCGGGTTCTCCACCATAAGCACAGCTCTTCTGACACTCAGGGTAATGCAGAATTCTGCAGTGTTTGGAGGTCTCCACATTCTCAGGAAAGTTCTTGGTGGGTTCGACTGGGCATCGCCTCCTGGGAGAAGTCCCATTCGGTGTCTGGGCTTCGTGTAGAGGGACAAGGGTACCTGAGCCTGATGTTGCGCCCTGCCAGCCTCACTGTGCCAGGTCCACCCAACCCCTCTCTACTGCATTTCATTTTAATCAGTAAGACATAATTGTCTCTAGTCTCTATGAGGTGTCAGGATGATCTGTCCAAAGAAAATGTATGTTTTTTTCTGCTCTTCTTGATCAACAATATTGCAGCTATTCGTGGCGATGTCAAAGAAGTCTGTCACTCCATGAAGCTCGGCACGTGCCCAGCGGAAAACAACATGCAGTCGTTCTAACAGGTTCCACGGGCAGTCCATCACATCCGACAATGGGACGACTGCATGTTGATCAAGTAAGATCCAATCTCGCCAGGTGGTTAGTCGCCTTCTATTCAGTCGGCGAGACACAATATGTATGTTAGATGTAGTGCTCTGTCTTTGTGATGTTTACAGTAGAAGGTAACTAAATGTTAGATACACGATATGAACAACGAAACAACTGCGTGATGTTAATTTGTTTGTGTTGTTAATGGGGAAACCCACCTGGTAATATCCGATAATATATATATGTATGTCCTGTTTTCACGTACAGCTTATCAGTTTATACCGACCAACTTTATGAACTTGTATTTCCTGAGTGACATCATAGGCTCAGTGGTAGGTGGGATAGATAGGTTTATGCCAGAGACTACGGCGGGGCCCTACAAAAGGGCTTCGCAGAATCGAACCCGGTACTTGGAAACCATTAACCACGTGGCAGGCCCGCCTCCCCGATCTTCATAATAAGGAGAAGACGTGGATGACGATGATGACGTTTGCGAACGCAACATGGACCCCGTAACGTGTGTGCGGGTATACAAACCTATGGAACAAACACTGTGTTCGGTAATTATAACAACCAGTACGTATGTACGTCCCTGTGTTCG